TATATATATATATATATGTATAAGAAACTGTATAAGATATTGACGTAAGGTATTTTTTAGCGGAAGAAACGGGAATATTTATAATTCACAGCGATTTGCAATCTTAAAGAAATCTACTTACGCGATGTTTATGGATTGTGATTAAAACTTTTTTGTGTGATCATGCGAGTGTAGGTACACCCCTTCTACACGGGGCCCATGATGCCCTCGTCGAATGGCCGACGTATGTCGACGGGTGGCGGAATGCAATCAGTCGGCGGCAGGTTGTCGGGTCAAACCGCGCAATCGACTCATTACGGCTTCAGCCAGCACACCGGAAGTGGAAGGATTATGCCGAGAAGCGGTTCCGACCAGCACCTACCCCGAGTCGATTATACAAGTATCACGACGCCGGCGCGACATACCCTTCTTAGATCCAGCTTGAAATCAGGTTCGTAATGAATTGATTTACGGTCCAACGCAAGGCTTTCGAGACTTACAAGCGACAAATTTCGTCAGTATTTGTGCCTTTCCACATTCTTATATTTGTTCTCCAGAATAAATTTTGGAGAATACTCTTGTAATTTATTTATTCTCAAATTTGATATATTACTTTATATAATAATGTTTTGAAAAAATATGCAATGGATAATATATCTAGAGAAATTTATTTTCCAAGAGTCAAATATGTTTTAAAAACAGAGAGAGAGAGAGAGAGAGAGAGAGAGAGAAATTAAGAAAAAATGTAATCTAATTATTTTCTTTCTGTGATATATTAGATTTATACGCTTGTTATATTCTAAGACAATTTTCTGTCATTATTAGGTACATCAGCATTACGTTACAATACGAGGTATGGTGGACAGACTGACATAACGTCCGCCGCGCAGAGACAAGGACAATTTGGCACCTTGACGAGGCGACATCGACCTTCATTGGACTATGCCTCCGACACCGAGGCTACGTGCTCCAGCTCGCCGAAATCAGCGTATTACTATTATAGGCACAACATGAACAATCCACCTCAAAGTAGCGTCGTATCGCATTTAGCTACCCTCTCGAGGTCACAAATCGGTCAGAGTTCCTCAGGTGAATCGAAATAATTCAAGTTTAAATTATGTTCCGCTTTCTTTCGGAAATCGTATCATTTAGATTTTGATTGCGATTAATAAACTCTGTGCGGTCCAAATAACTTTTTCCAAATAAGCAAATATTATGTTTGCATTTTAGCTTCATTAGCGCGTAGTTTGATATAACAATTAATTTATATTATTTATTAGAATCTTATCAAAATTCTGAGAATGGTTTATTAATTATAATGCAATATTTGGAGTATCTAGAAAATTGCCAAGTTTGCTTTGATATAGATTGCAAATGGTTTAAGCATTTCGATAGCCTTAAATCTAAAGCCTCTGGCAAAATGCAATTCTCTTCGAGCGAGCGCCATAAATTAGGAAATTTGTCATACAGGTTTAAGGTCAAACTCGTTACCACGAAGCGGTCGGACGTTGCCTCAGCAACCCGGTCTCAGATCGGGTCTCAGCACGGTCGCGTCGGGCCTGATCGATCAAGAGGACAGCGACGGCGCTTTATCGGCGCCGGAATTGCCTTCCATCAGGCGTGACAGAGGTAAGCTTAAATAATGAAGACGATAACTGAGAACACAGTTTACTTACCGTGGATTGACCGTGTCGATAAATCGCAACAGGCAGGATACCGTCCTCGCCGAGCGTATTTACGTCGGACGAGTATCGCGCCTGGCTAAGTCGCACGCCAAGCACCAGCGCCTTGTACGAGCAGATCAGGGCGACCACGAGTAGACCACCTCGTTACACATACAGCGCCGAGAATATTCACGCAGCCGTCAATCAGGTATAGCGTAAACTGATTAATAAACTCGAAACTTCTGTAATCAATCGTTAATTTTATCATATTAATTTTGTTGAATAATTTAATGTGATGATAGATCTTGTTTGATTTTCTATCGTTTATTATTAAGTACACAAATAACATCATGATTCGTTGTTTTATCTTTAACACATTTGTTTTAAGAATATAGATTATATAAACTTATTTTTTATTTTGAAAGATTTATTACTTCGTATTTAGTACTGAAATTTTATTCATTCAAATTTTTAATGATTTCAACGTTAAAAAATCTATATCCTTTAGCTTATATTTATAAATTTGTATTTATATTGGCGCTTTCGGATAAAAATTTGTAATTATTTTTCAATATTTTTCAATATATCATAAATTTATTCATACTTTATAACGTATCTATTCGATCGAATAAAATTTCAATGTACTAAATATCAAGTAATAAATCTTTTAAAATAAAAAATAAGTTAATATAATCTTTATTCTTAAGAGAAATATATTATAAAGATAAACTCATCTACTTAAATCGAATGTTAATAAAGTAAATTATTTTCTTGGTTCATGTAGGGTGAGTATGGCAGTTATGGTGGGTATAGACCGCTCTCGAGCACTCTCGATCGCCTGTCGACGAGATCGGCGTCGGCCCAACAGGTCAATCTCGCAAATCTCAGAGCGTCAACGGCAATCAGCTCGACGTGTCATCGAGGTACAACGAATCCAAGGCCAGCCTCGGTAGCGTCGAGCGCACGCTCGTCGCTCGTGACCCAGAAACCGTCGTTAACGAGCTCCGCGAGCCAAAGGGCGACATCAGTCAGAAGAATTAGAAATCTGTTGGACCTTGAGTCCACGAGGAGCATACCTACCCCAACGCCTACTAGAACTCAGGGTCAAATACTGCTAGATATTAATCCTGCAGGTGAAACTAATTAGTCTATTTTATTCTATTCTTCGTTTATAATGTTTTATTCTTAAAAGCAAGAATGTTGAAGAATTTTTTTTTCTATTCAGAGTTCCTCAAGTATAAAATAGAGAAGCCGCCGACTGTGGGCACTCCGAGCTCAACGAGCTCCCTTTTGAGTTCACTCGGGGAGACGACTGGTGGCGATTTCGCGAGCGGAGTTAGCGGATTATTGTCGGTCCATCTCTTAGCGGGACGCGGGCTTCGAACGACTACGACCTCATCGGCTGCTACTACACCTTCCACTCCCTCCGGTCAACCGAATTTAGGTTCGTCAGATGAGACAATTTTATGTTTATGGACGTTTTTCATCCAAAGTCGGCAATATTTTACTCGCTTTATTTTACTCATTTACATTTTTTTTCATGCTGATTTCACACACTCGAGCAACGCAATTTAATTGCTAATTTTCAATATAAAAAATTTATATTATATTACGCTGTTATGAATAATTTTATTTAAATAAATCTATTAATTTGTCAAAAATAATTACAGCTAGTTGTGGCTTGAGAGACTTGTATTGCGTACTGGAGTGCGACAGAGTGCACAAAGCGCGAACAGTAGTGCGAACCGGCGATTTAATGTTCGACTGGGACGAAACCTTCGAGCTGGATCTCGTAGGCAATAGGCAGCTGGATCTGCTCGTTTATTCTTGGGACCCGCAGTACAGGCATAAACTCTGTTACAAGGGATCGGTGCATTTAGCGAGTCTGCTGAAAGAGTCGCCGGAGCATCAACTGGCTGTCAAAGTCGAACCACGCGGTACAATCTACTTAAAACTGCGATACACCGACGCTCAACAAACTTTCCGTCGAAGAGGTCTACCGGTCATATCTTTAGCTACAAGAGTCGCACCTCTTTTCGGAGTTGATCTGGATACAGTGGTAAGTTTTCCGTCTTTTACAATTTTAAAAAATTAATTTTTTCTATGTCAATTTTCAATGTTCACTCAAAAATATATATAATTATATTTTCGATATTTTTTTTTAATGATTAGGTAAGTCGAGAAACTAAGACTGGCGGAGTTCCCGGTGGAGTTTCCACGGCTTTGGCGATGGGAGTCCCGAACATTCCGATTATCGTATGGCGTTGCGTCGAGGAGGTTGAGAGAAGAGGGCTCGATATCATTGGTAAATATAAAAATAAATTTCAAAAATATTGCGACAAGAATCGTCACATTATTTCGTGCAACAGGTTTGTATAGACTCTGCGGTTCGGCGACTAAGAAGAGGATACTTAGGGAAGCTTTCGAAAGGAACGCACGGTCCGTGAATCTATCGCCCGACAACGTACCGGATATCAATGTCATCACTGGTAATACGCCGCGTATTAAATACGTCAAATTGTTTCGAGAATAAGCGAAATGACGCAAAATGACTAATTTGTGACCGCGACATTATTTTCAGGCGTTCTGAAAGATTATTTACGAGAACTCCCGGAACCTCTCTTCACGAAGTGCCTCTACCAAATGATGGTCGATGCACTGGCCGTCTGTTTACCAGACGACCCGCAGGGCAATGCTAAACTTATGTTCAGTATACTAGATTGTTTGCCTAAGGTCAATAGGGTACGTATTTATGCATAATTCACTTTTAAATGCATTAATTACAACAGAGAAATGAAAAAATTAATATAACGAGATTTTTGCTGAGATTATTAATTTCTCTAATTATCTAATTTTATTAATTGGCAATAGTGCACATTGATTTACTTGCTGGATCATCTGGCGATGGTGGTGTCACAGTGCAATAAAATGTCACCAGCAAGTCTTGCCGTTTGCTTCGGCCCGGTATTAATGTTACATTCGGACGAAAATGCACCCCCGCTGGATTTCCAACAACCGATAGCCGTACTTAAGTATCTGCTGGAGATTTGGCCGGTCAAGTCAGGTAATGTACTTGTTTTTAATGTATCTCTGTAAAGAATCAGTCTTTTCGCGAATTTAAGCTAATTATTTTCATGCATTCCGCGCGATTTAGTCAAGTTTGAATTTTGACTTAAAACGCTGCGCAAGAATGTAAGAAAAAAAATAATAACGTTTTTATAAGCGTTATATATGCAAAGCGACATGCATTAAGAAGAAAACATTAGCTAAAAGCCGAGTAATCAGTAGCTAATTTCACAGACAGTTCGGAAGACTTCTTCAGCCGGTTCAACACTTCCTCGAGTTATGCCAGCAGTCGAGCGCAGCAGCAGTCAGCAGCATCTGCAACAGGCGCAGCAATTGGTGCAACAACAGCTACAGGCGCAACTACAAGGAACATTGGGACGCACAGGGCTGCCTTGGCAGCAGCCACCCTCACTTCATCATCAACCCCAAACTACGGCAGCCGCAGTCCTCGGGCCCTCCATTCGTCCTCCACCACCGGTCAAACCTCGACAGGTGAATCCGTCATTTTTCGTGCATCTCTTCGAGTTCGATTCGAGTTCGATTCGAGAATTTATTATTAAGAAAATATTAATCCTAAACAGTACGAGCAGGCTCTGACTTTCTCGATTGCAAATTATTTTATTTTTTTTATTCTAAATAACAATTATTATATATCTTAACTTTTTCTAAAAATTTAAATAAATTTATGTAAAGAAAATACAGATTTTGAATCAAAGATTTAAAAAATATGTGACAAATAAACATTTATTATTAAATATAATATATTGGGTCAGAGAGACACACAGAGAAAGAGAGTGTCAACTTTCGACATTTTTATGTAAGTAATATATTTTACACTGTTTAGGATTAAAAACATTGATTTTTCTAGTTTCTGTGAATTTATATATTTGCGTAAATCTCTCCTCGAGCTATCAGAAATTTTGCAACTAGAAAAATCAACCGAGAATATGTCTGTCAGATATTCTAAACGTATATACTCAGTTTCCTTTATTCTCGCTTTTCTTCATGTTCTATGTATATTGAAACGTTGTGAACAGCATGGTAGGCAAAGTACTGATTCTATTTCTTCTTTGTTCGCTTCGCAGACAATCGCGCGATGCGCTTCTATGAAATCGAATCTATGCCATTTAGTGATCATTCATTCGCCCTGCTTATATGTACATCAAATGTTCAATCATTCATGATAACATTTCAATCGGAGAACTTTTATTTATAGTAAACTCGCAAGCTAAAAAATATGTGACAAATAAACATTTATTATTAAATATAATATATTGGGTCAGAGAGACACACAGAGAAAGAGAGTGTCAACTTTCGACATTTTTATGTAAGTAATATATTTTACACTGTTTAGGATTAAAAACATTGATTTTTCTAGTTTCTGTGAATTTATATATTTGCGTAAATCTCTCCTCGAGCTATCAGAAATTTTGCAACTAGAAAAATCAACCGAGAATATGTCTGTCAGATATTCTAAACGTATATACTCAGTTTCCTTTATTCTCGCTTTTCTTCATGTTCTATGTATATTGAAACGTTGTGAACAGCATGGTAGGCAAAGTACTGATTCTATTTCTTCTTTGTTCGCTTCGCAGACAATCGCGCGATGCGCTTCTATGAAATCGAATCTATGCCATTTAGTGATCATTCATTCGCCCTGCTTATATGTACATCAAATGTTCAATCATTCATGATAACATTTCAATCGGAGAACTTTTATTTATAGTAAACTCGCAAGCATTTTGGTATGTAATGTTTTGAAAAGTATATAATTTGAAAGATTGTATCATATTTTATTATAAAGAAAAGAATGATTTATTCTCGAAAAAATTAATTTCTGGCTGGAAAAGCTTAATCTCTGTGCTCTGAAAATCATTGCTAGCCAAAATGATTTATGATTGCCATTCATTATCATTATCATTGATCATCATATCTCGCGATTTAAGTTTCATACATTTATCATGTACATATATTTTACATATATCATTTATATGAAATGCCTTCGTGCATGTCTCGATGTCATCTCTATATCTTTCATATTCATATATACATATATATATACATATATACATATTTTGTGTATATAGTTTCAACGTCATTCCTATTATAATAACAATTTACGTTGTCTTCTTTATCTTTTTTCGTTTGGGCACGTATTCTTCAGAGCAAGCGCAAATTGCCGGCTCTACCAAACCGCTGACAGCACAGAGACGCCGCTTCTTGCACAGGTATCATCGTTATTATCGTTTATCGTTTTCATTATCATGTACATCCGCTATTTTAGTTCGTTGTCACATGCATGGCCCGATTCAGATATCAGAGAAACGTATCATTCATGTAACTCTCATTCTACCTTCATGCCATCACGTTTCATCGCAATCTAAATGTTACCGACATATATACTGAATATTGTAAATACTTGTTTATATTAATGTAGCACATATTTCTACGTATGTTCACAATTGCATTCACTTCCACGACTCTCTGGTATCCGCAAAATTATGGAGAATTGATTTAAAAATAGCAATTTTGCACAAATATTAAATTTCTGAAAATATATATCAGATTTTGTTCATAACATAAATTGAACAATACTTAAAAATATAAATTTTATGCATTGTTGAGTTTAAGATTGGAAACTATCTCTTCGTAATATATCAGAGAATATCTACAGCGATTCCCGAAATTGGTCAAGTGTCCCAAAAAAATTTCAAAAAATTGCAGAAAATATTATTATACGTATTATTTTATATATTATAATATTATTCGCATCTCTCTTTCTGATAGTAAACTATCTAATTCTGTTTTTATATCTTATTCGTCGTCTTTCCGCCGCTTTATAAGAAGAAAAATTTTATGGAACTTTTAAAAAACATTTGATCAGTTTCGTGTATAAATACAGCCGGAATTCCGGCATCGTGCGCGACTAACCGACGCACCTTGACGGTGGGTCCATTTTGTACGCGCAGGTGATAGTCTCATCTCCCGGTTCACCTAGTAGCGAGGAGTCGGAGGCCTCGCCGGAGCCGATTAACAAGGGCCTCCTGGGCAATTTAGGATACGAAAAGAGCGACGAGACGACAACGACGACGACGACGACGTCGAGCGCGTCAGGCGGAATTAGTATCGGCGTCGGCGTCGGTGCCGGTGCCGGTGCTGGTGTCGAGCAGATAACGCCGACGAGCAGCGTCGACACCGAAGAAGGTAATCCCCACCATCCCGAAGAGGGTGAGAAGGGCGTCGAAGGTGATGTTGAGGCGAGCGACGACGATCGACATCAGCACATACCTAAAACGCATTAATCGCTGCCATCGCGCGGGCAATGAACGCAGTGAGTAACGAAGAGGCTGCGAAAGGAGACGACTTTTCGCGAACAAACGTACTCCAAAGTTTGAGGACTGCTTCGTGACTTTGTACGTATTGCTTCGTTCATCGAAGTTGGACGTATGGCCCAAAGGATAGGTCGATCAACCCAGAAAATGAAATGGAATATTGTGAAGAAAATAGAGATTACTCGTTAATTTCATAAGATCGTCCTGTAAATGTTCTCGGATTAATTGTTTAGTTTTATAGATACGAGATAGGAAACATGTCAAAGTGAGTAAGCCTTCGGACACAAGTTTTCCCGGTCTGTGTGTGCACGGTGCTAATACTCGAATGTCGATTCGTAAGAATTGCACATTTGTTGCACATTTCGATCGAAAACTATCGCGATTAATTGATTTTAGTCAATTGTGTTGGGCATGGCTGCTTGCGAGAAAGATTTGTTAAAATTAAACGGAAAGGGAACAAAACAAAAGAGGTAGAGATGGGAAGATGACCTCGTTCGGTTATTATAGCCAAATTGTGCTAAAGAACTGCTATGTAGCTATGAAATTAAAACTAACGATATACTAAATTCTTCCCTTGAATGTTACGTCTCATTTTCTAATTAAAAAATTGAGTTTCGTAAAAAGATAAAGTATGCGATTTATAAATTTATAATAGTCATGTATTTATTTAAATGTATGAAATGCGTTACTGAAATGCATTACTGAAATAATCAAGCTATCAAACGAAGAGATGCGAGTGCTACGACTGTTACTCATTATAAGAAGGCAGATCAAAGACACGTTCGTTCTGTCAGACGCAACAATAGCCCGGATAAATAGAACCGGATCGAAATGATAAAACAAGTTCCGCAACAAGAAAGAGGGTATTTACTATGTTAGAAAGTCACTACTGGGAAAGCAATTCCAACAATCGAACACGTTCAGTCCTCCATACATTATGGAAGTTTCTCCGAGTTATGACCTTTCGAGTCATGATCTCTTAAAGCAGATAGTAGATTGCAAATAAATGCATCGCATACATCTTGCCCTCGATGCTCTTTTCCGGGAGATTACATAAAGATGAGAAAGGAAAAAAAGGTGGAAGAAAAGAAGGAGGTAGAAACAAGGTTGCCCCTCCGCGATCGTCATCGTCGGCATCTCACTATCATCAACATGACACACAATGATAACACAATACACAGAGCTTAAACAAGCGAGCCGGTCAACGAGGATGCGCACGTGGCATACATAATAATCAGTTTATATGCGAATATACTATATATACATATTATATATACATATGTAGACTAGTCACGATATTACGTGTGCTTTTGATAAAAGACTATTACTTGTAGCGTTAGCTAGCTCTCGTATACAGAACAAAAGGATACATGAACAAACAAATCGACAAACAAACAAATTAACAAACAATTAAACTAGACGATATACATAATATACATATAAAGATGTTATATATACTTTGGGGAAGAGAGAGTGCGAAGACACGACGGTGTTTCAACATGTCGACAATAGGACACGTAGGTATCGTTTGAACATGTTTGCATCAAGGGTGTAGTACCGGACAATCAACTGGCTATTGTATCAATACCGGTCGATTGATTGTCCGAGATTGAATCGTAATTGAAGAAAAAAGAACATAAAAAAAGAAAGAAGTGGTTACCGCAAGAAAAACTGACCGAAAATGATAATAATTACGAGTAAACAAAGAAATGCTACGATTAATTAATTATACTTTTAAAAAGAAAACGTAAAAACGAGTAAAAAATAGCCAGTATTATTATACGTCTAAAGCTGTAAAATGATGATCGCGCGAAAGAAAGAGTGTGAGAGAATGAAAGAGAGAAAGAGCAGAGATATGCAAATAGTCTAATAGAAAAATAACAAACGATTAAAGAAAAAGAGACGGAGAAAAAGGGAGGGTGAAACGTAGACACGCAAATGTCGCCCTTATTAAGAACAATTGGACGACGATAAAATACGCACTACGAATTCAGAATAAAGCCACGAGCGGATCGCGATTGCCTGTCATCGTCATAATTATCACTGTAACGCATCATCGCCATCATTATCGTCATCGTCGCACGATCTCACACTCGTGGTTTGGTTCGCAAACATAAAAAAGATGCACTGTAATCTGTATAAACACGCACGTATAAATAGATATATAAATACGTCTATATTCTCTTCTTTTCGCACAGTTAGTGTTATCGCGCGGATTGTGAGAGAATGAAAGAGAGAAAGAGCAGAGATATGCAAATAGTCTAATAGAAAAATAACAAACGATTAAAGAAAAAGAGACGGAGAAAAAGGGAGGGTGAAACGTAGACACGCAAATGTCGCCCTTATTAAGAACAATTGGACGACGATAAAATACGCACTACGAATTCAGAATAAAGCCACGAGCGGATCGCGATTGCCTGTCATCGTCATAATTATCACTGTAACGCATCATCGCCATCATTATCGTCATCGTCGCACGATCTCACACTCGTGGTTTGGTTCGCAAACATAAAAAAGATGCACTGTAATCTGTATAAACACGCACGTATAAATAGATATATAAATACGTCTATATTCTCTTCTTTTCGCACAGTTAGTGTTATCGCGCGGATATTTAAGAAGGGAGGAGAAGTATCCGCGAAATTGAGACTAATTGTATAGTTGAGTGTAATGTGTATATATACATATATATACATACGTATATATATATATATATATATGATTTGCTGTAATCCTAATTATGTATATCCAGCCCCAGACCGTATGATTGTCGTTCGATGTGCATGGGCGAGGGAATGCCGGATACCGCAATATTCTCTTTTTTCAAGACCGAGAGATTCATTTTCTTTCTTTCTTTGTTCGTTCGAAGCATTCGAACCAAAATTTTGTCCAATGCTGACGTTTTACATTTTCACTATAAATTATCGTTTACCTTTACTCGCAGAGATCTAATAAAATATATATTCATAAATAAATTTAGATATTTAGATATATAATTTTTTGTAAAATTAATTTGCTGCAAATTTTTAATTAGATTTATTCGTCAGATTGAGACGTCACGTAGTTCCTATCATATCTACTTGTTCGTAGAGGTATTGAATAATCATATTGAGTAAAACAAACGTGAATTGCCGTTTGCGAAAGATTACTTTCTTAACGTTGTAGAAAAAATGTATATGTATTGATATATAATGTGAATTGTATGAATTATTTTTTAAATAGTTGAGCGACAGTATCCACAACACGTAATTTAATTTGAAATATTTGCGCTTTAGACTTTATATACTCTGAAACGAATAAGTTTATTAATATGACCCATGTATCTCTTTGTTTTTCGATATGATTGACCGATTAATATATCACGAAGGAGAGACAGACAAACACAAAGACGGTATCCAGCATTCCTCGCTGTCCTGATTCTAGTAATAAATCAATTATGCCGCGAAGAAAGAAAGAGAAAGAAAGAATGTATGTGCATATGTGTGTATATGTATGGGAGTAAGATTAACTTAACTATTATACGTGAAAGCACACTGCCGCAATTTTATATAATTATATATATTAACCGAGACTTAGCAAGCCGCGATACGTGTCGATCGCGAGGAAGTACAGGACATGGTCAGTGAGTTAGTTCAAGTTAGTTTCTTTCGCTAAAAACAAGTGCAGGTCCTTCGTCCAAAATCGTAAATTAAAATCCTTCAACAAGGGAGAAAGTCATATTTAGTCCTTATTGAACAATTATTACGTATTTGGGAGATTCTAAAATCGCACATTTCTATACAAAGTGTAGATATCTAAATATTAGATATCTAAATACAACTAGCAATATTTATATTTTTTGGATCTTGCAGGACATTTGCGTATTTAAGAACGTCCAAGTATATATTTGAAAAAATAGCCAAGAATATTTAAAAATAACTATTAAATATTTAACAAACTTACAAGTATTGGATATCAATGTTATAAAGTCTTCATAAGCATGCAATTTTCCGCATCGTCAATTTCTTTTTTTTGACGAGAAGAAAACGTGGCAAGCGCAGTAGCTAGTCGAAGGATCGGCAAAATAGTGGAAGGTCGTTAAAGAATATTATTCATCGGGATCGTCGTGCATCCCGTATCAGCAATAAATGATATTGTAATAATTTTATCTCTATTTTCGCGCGTCATAAACTGGATGTTACGCGAGGTCCTTCCAGAGTCCTCTCGTATCGCTCGCAAAGGATAATCTCTTGATCGAATCGAGCTAGTTATGGAGCAGCAGTAGCCCACAGATGCAGTAATTTGTGCTCTCGACTTTTCCACAAGTGATCCTAACATTTTTCTTTTCTTTTTTCTCTTCATATCACCTCCCTCGCGATACCAAAAGATGGTAGAAAAAAAAACAAAGAGTATTCCAATCGCGCATTATTGATTGGTTGCAATTATATGGTCGAGTTTAGTTTCTCATTACAAACAGACGATTCGCAAAGTTAGCAGCATTTAGAAAAGATATAAAAACATTTAAATAAATCGGGTTAGATGAACGGAAAATTCGGAAAGACATGAATTACAACAAAATTTGTGGGGACAGAAAAAAGTTAGTTAAATACGCTCGAGAGCCACGTTAGAAATTTGCTAGGACTTGCTTATAATTACAATTATAAAATGATGGAAGTATCGAAAATAAATAACTACATGAGAGAAAAAATATCGGGCAGTAAACGAGCAAGAGGCGTAATATCGATATACAAATATAATTTTTTAACGTGCTCACATTACCCGATTCACTCATGCAATCGCATTTCATTTTAATCGACTAATTATTATTATTGTGAGGGAATTCGCGTTAAACAGATCCAAATACTTGTATTCTCGATTTTAGAATTTATATCGATTGAATGGTCCTTATCGAGACATTTATATAAGAAGGCTTGATACATATGTAGATTTCTTTTTATTTGCATTAAATTAATAATTTATAATAAAAAAATAATTTGATTAATAATTAAAACACACTTCTTAGATATTTTACATATTTTTTTGAAATCTGACATTTTCAAAACGTCTTTGAAAAAATTAAATCTTATACTAACAAAAATAATATATTTTATTCATCACTTTTTGTTTTAATTTCTATAATCAATAATATAATTATTTATTCGTGGCGATTAATTAAAAAAAAAATATATTGATTTATATATTTACACAAAAATTTTTGACCAAACAAATCAATTTGTAACTATGAGAGACTACAAGAGCGCACAAATTTCACGTGTTTTTAAGCTTAATAATATATGAACGCTATTGCGTACTTCATTTGTACATTACATTATCGCATGCAATATTAATAATGACATTATAAGAAATTTTCAAACATTTATACAAAATCATGAATACAAGTTTTATGGATCTCTCTCTCTCTCATCGAATCTTACGATTAGCACTAACATATAAATATATATACGATGGACCACGTTTGTCATACTGAAACGTTTCTAAAAAAAGAGAGATAGAGAAAGAAAGAGAAAGAAAGAAAAACTAAAAATTTTTCCATGATTTTTCTATAAGTTAGAAGCAGAACATAGCAGGACGCATCGGTTTTTCTTCCGCGCTCCGACAGCATAAATTTCGTACGTAAATGAACTATAATTATCGAACTTTCTACAATTAATACTTATATACTATATATATATAGTTTTAGCTATTTCTCCCAAGGTCCTCGAATCTTTACGAGAGTGACACATCCACATCGGCGATCGATCCTTCGTAAAGACCGTTCATCAATCACCGATGATCGATAAGCCGTAAATTGAATTGTCTTATTGTTAGATTGGCAAAGCGTTAATGTCTGCGAAAATTTCATCAAGAAAAAAATTTAAGAACAATCTTTTTTAATGAAAAAAAAAAAAATTAAATCAACGTATATACGGATGGATCGATCGCGAATGCTGTTAGTTTAGCTGATGGGAAAAAGTATTTTGCAATGACCATTATATCGCGTATCTTTCGTTTAAGATAATAATGGTGGTATCATTGAGAAATCCTATGTATCATTTAAGTTACAAGGACGATCGGATTTCGATCTGATTGTGAGAGAAACTCGAGTGTACCGTCGGTGCCTCTGATTTCTTAATACTACAAAGCGATCGACAGGGCGCGGCGCTTAAAAAAAAATCTCGAAATAATTTTCAGCTCATTTTGACTACGATTTACGTTGCTCTTCCTTCGTCTTTCCGGATACCGGACGATCCGCGGAGAATCTTTTCCGAAGACGCGCGAGAAAATCGCGAAAGAGTCGAATTCCTCGAGTCACTAATCGCGACATACGTGTGCAGAGTGTTAGTATGTAAATAGTCGCTGAAAAATGAAGCAAAACCGAGATTAATAATGTACTGTCATTCCTTTTGGTGCTCAATGACCCTGAACAGATAATAATAGCTGATAGTCGGTATGTTAACAAAATATGTAAGCGTAGTCAATCCGTCTCGCCATCGACGCGATCACGATCAATCTAATGCGAAAGATTTCAGTGGTGAAAACGTTGTATCTGTCGTATAGCTGTGCTCTTCTTATGTTTCATTGTTAAATGTAATATTTTCAAGGTTACTATACATACGATCACACTCTTTGACAAATGTAGATTTTTAATTAGTTTCATCATCATCTAAAACAAGCCTTTACGGAAAAATTTATATTTGAACGTAAAATTACAATATTTATTTCTTATTTTCTGTAATTAGCGATTTTAATATTAATAAAGAGAATATTATGCAGTTTAGTGTTTAAAATTGTGTGCAAATTTTAAATTTTTTCAATTAAAATTCTAGGGAGATCAATTTTACAATTACGCCGTGATATAAAAGAATATCGTTTTCACCACATTGTGTGAAATTTCTCTCGACTTCAAGCAACAATGTTGAGAAAAGTCAAGTTTCTTCTTCGAGAAGAAGAATTTTCGAGCAACGAGATGACCTGTATATAATAACGAAACAGTTATTATTAATAATGATTAAACAATCATAAAACGCGTTACTCTCGAGAGAGTTTCGAACACACAAGAGGGATTAAAATCATATTAAACGGAGAAAGTCGAGGAGGGAGACGGAGACGCTGCTTGTAAATAATGAATCACGTTTTATTTATCATATGAACAAGGCGCATGTGAATCATGCAACACGCTTTAGAGAGGAAGCGGGACACGCACAAGCACATACACATACACGCATGGAACATACACGTCATATACATGGTCACATGTATACATGTATTTTCGACCATAGCTTTTCTCGTGTATTTATCGAAATATGTATATCATTAAAAATCCTTCTGAACACATATCCCATCCAGGATGTAGGTATTATCTTTCTCAAACAAATGTGTGCGAGTTGTAGATAATTGTGAATAATACCGAGAAAGATGATTAAACGCTGCTTTGAATGAATAATTACAATGATAATTATGAAAGTGTTAATGATACTTAAAATTTTTTTTCGGTCAATACACAATTTATGAAATACGATAACGTTTTTTACGTTGTCTTATATATGTACTTTATCTTATTTTGAAAATTTTGGAATAATATATAAATAATTATTTTGTGTGTGTGTGTGTAGTAAAATTGCAGGGTATGCATATGATAAGTTCTTTATACTTGTGAGAAACTGGAATTTTACTACCTATCAAATATATTAACTTACACGTTGACACTAAGAATATAATAACACGTATAATATTTACGCACTTTTAAAATTTTTTCCAAATATTCAAAACACACACACACACACACAGACACACACAGGAATTTTATAACATTAGGATTTATTGATAAAATTGGATTTGAGCTTTGTAAAAATATTCATGTTCCAAGTAGCGTTTTGCAAGATTTTTCTCACGCGATTGATACGAGAACGAAATTATCGAATGGATCGTATGCCTGATCGTTTCCACTCTTCATCGAATAAGGGCATCACTAGATTATAGGGCTAATTACCCTAAAGCTTTCATCGCATCCTACATATCATAGGGAAACAAAGAAGAGAAATGATTTTCGTTTCTTAAGAAAGAAAAAGAGACGGGCCTACGAACATGACAGAAAATTTGCGATTGTATTTAGAATTGTGAAAATAGAGCAAAGTGCGTTAGGGGTAAACCACAAATAAGCAAAATGGGCCTCACAATACTATGTATTATCTGTTAGGGAAGTGAATTGCGTTTCGTACAGTCGAGATGAATGAGATAAACACGCTTTTAGGATTAGTCGCAGTTTCGACCTAGACAAAGCACGGAAAACACGTACTGTACCTCTTGTGTCATTTTTTTTTTCTTTCACCTATTACATAGCATTATTCACTCTTTCTCTCTCATCTTTTTCACATGCCTATCAATAGCTAAGATGTAGACACGATGTGCAAAAGGATAATTTAACTTGTTAAACTCTTCTCATACATTAAAATATCTTGTATACGAAAAATATTATTATAATGACATTGTTAAATATCGGAAAAAATTTCTCAAGAAATTACTGTTCAGAATCTTTGAGGACAAAAATAATTATTCTTAATACTTAAAAATATTTTTTTTCTGTTGTGGAATATCTTGCTTTCTCAATACTAAAATTATACAAATAAACTTCCACAGAGGATTTTTGCACATTGATTCTACGATTATAAAATTCTACAATAAATATCATTCGAGAGATTAAGAGTGACGCAGAAATTAATGCCGCAGCCGAATTCTCACATAATTTTGTGATGCAAAATCGCGATTTGGTTGAACTTGGATAAAAAACCAGTACAAATAAAATTCTAAAGTATCTAATTCGACACTTTCTTCGTTTTCGTTTCGCGCTTCATTTAGCACGTAGCTTGCACAAATCTGCAACTTCCAGTTTACATGATGAAATCGAACATATAATCGTTTTGATGACCGAAGTTCACCTACTTCTTCCAGTTTTCATAAAAAAGACGCAAAAACAAGAGGAAAATGTAGAAAAATAATTTGTTCGGGGTTCTGCGAGGACGACGAGCGTCATCTTCGCGCGATTAACGATAATTATTCTTGTGTCCATTACTTGTTTCACGATAATGTTCGCGAATGTCGCTTCATAGCAATCCTTTTGGTAAGCTTTTCCCGCTTCTATATTGTATAAATCGCTGCCTGCATTGTTTACCCGCATGAAATAGGCGTGAATACAGAGACGCATTCGTTCTCCCGCAGACATACTATATATCATTGCAAACTATATCATTATCGATCATTATCGCGCGAAGAGGAAAGAGGGGTGAAAGATTGATTACTCTAGTGCTTAGGAACGAAGCCTGTAAACTCTCTGTTAGTCGAAACTTGAAGATATAGTGCGAATGGGCAACCACAGTTAATAAATGTATCATACACGACTACTGAAAGGGAATTTGCGAAGACGTTAATTACCGTCAAAGATATACCGTTGAAAATTATTTTCAATCGATTCTTCCATACTTGTAATTCAAATTTTCTTTTACTATGCAGGTGTGACAGAAAATAAAAAAATGACTAAAATTAAAAGTAGCATAAATATAATAATGCAATAAATATCAGAGAAATATCGGGAATTAAAAAATAGAATTATTTTCTATATAATTAAATATATTTTGAAAATTAAAGATATCCTATTTCTTATATAATTTTAATCATAATATAATGGCAAATTAATTATTACGGAAAGTTATGAAACATTCAATTAGTTACATGAAAAATCTGAATAAAATTTAAATCTGAATAAAATTTGAATAATAATATAAACATTACAACCGTTTTATATCAAATATGCAAAATCGCAATTTATAATTTCAGCTATAACAATTATATGGAATACAAAGATTATGTGCTATCAAGATTGTAAGCAGAGAAAAAAACATCAATTTAAATAAATTATAATAATTGGCGAGTAATCGACGTCTACGAGACTAAATAACTATAATTAATGTACATTGAAAGAGCGAAAGGAAAAGAATGCATCTGATGCGAAAATGCGAAACAGACGAGGAATAAAAGAGTAATCGTGAAAGAAAAAGAAAGAAAGAGAAAGAAAGAAAGAGAAAAAGTAGGAGGGCATATATAAAAAAAGAAGCGAAACTGCACAGCTGAGTGATTAGATCGTTCTGTGAATTGAAAATTCTAAGTCTAAAAATATATTTATGACGGAGAGAGAAAAGACAGAAATGGGGGGAGACGAAAAGGAAACGAAATGCAGATATAGATGCAACATGTAAGAGACAAAAGTAAAAGAGAGATATACAAATATAAATATATAAATATAAAAAAGATACGAGAAAGGTATAAATAAAAAGGCAAAGAATAAAAACAAGGAGGGAGAGAATGAAAAGAACAGACGAGATACTAGAAGCTGGTGATGCAACGTAAAAACGACGCAGATAAGTATATCTATCAGTATTTATGCAGTAATCGAAAACTATCGTCGCGAGACTTATTGTTAGATAAATATTATTGACAGCATTTTTCCTTGGATCCTCTCTAATCCTATCCTCTAATCGAGACTGCAGCATTAAAAGATATACAAAAAGAGACAAGAGATAGAGAGCAAGAAAAACAGAAAGAAAAGACAAAGATATAATATTTGAACGCGTAAGACGGCTGAGAAGCGAGAAAGGCTTGGGCGAACGAAAAAACATAGTAAAAAAGATGAAAAAAAGAACAACTATCGTTGATCGCTATATCAAGCAAGTAGATGTATATTTAAGAGTAAACGAAAAAAATATAGTAGCGTGTCGGTATATTAGTGTTACAATTGCGAAGATGCGTCGCCGCGTGTCTCATGCCCGACCATTGTGGCCGCTTATGCGAACCGATGATACATGAAAGAGAAAATACGAGAACTCAGTATATAAAGAATACGAGGAACGATTGCGTATTGTGCGTATACGAGTGTGTGAGAATATGTGTCGGAGAACGAGATACAAATTGCGTCAATTGTAAATTATGCGTTCAGCCTTAACATGAGCGTAACTTTTATAAATTTTGATTTTTCCTAAAAATTTTGTATAATTTTATAATTTGTATAAAATTTAAAAAATTTTTTAAAAATAATTTGATTTTGAAATATTCATTTGTTCCCTATTATACTATGTACGATGGATAACAATAATTTAAATTAAACGTAATTATAATACTCTATTTATTTAAATTTTACTTACTATTAGATTTTACTTACTGTCAACCTTATTTTAACGAAAAAAAAAGATCTATTATACTATGTACGATGAATAACAATAATTTAAATTAAACGTAATTATAATATTCTATTTATTTAAATTTTACTTACTATTAGATTTTACTTACTGTCAACCTTATTTTAACGAAAAAAAAGAATGGTATAAATGATGATATCCGTTACAAAAAAATTGTTAAAGCTGAACGTATCTTAAGAAAGTGCAAGAGAGCGCAATGTGCGAATACAAATTGACTTTAACACCAACAAGAAATTTTTTGCAATACAAAAATTAATCTTTAGAGGCTCCTTTACAATACGTTGATGATTAGATCAAATAGTTCGATGAATAAATTGACGAAAAATTGGGACAAGATTTGTTAAGTATCTTGTAAATTCGGTAATCGCGCGATGCGCCGAATGTAAGTTTCGTTAAACGAAATTTAGCATTACATATTTCATTGTTATTAGGTTTGTTAAATTTGAGGATGCGAAAATGGTCGCTGAATTTTAGTTGCGAGAAAAAAATCATTTATTCTCAATCGGGAAAATTAAACAGTCGCATTTCTCGAATGCTCGAACGAGTTTTTTCTCGATTGTTAATTTCGAATGAGCTTTGTCAAGTATATCAATGTGAGAGATGATATACGTATAGGACTCCGGTTTCGCTTAATTGGTCGTTAAGCGACGCTTAAATCGGTGTTAGATTGGCGCTAGTCAATCCGGCACGCGAGTCAACGATACGCAAATAAGCGATTCGTTAAGCGATTATAAACAAAAGAATCAACAGTAGATATAGTAGAGCGTGAAACAACTTCAAAGGGGTAATACTACCGTTGTTCCGTTAATTGTTTCTATAGATTTTATTGCATCGCGACCGCGTCGAGTCATCCGCGATCGGGAAGCAAGCACAAAAAGGTAATCGCTCCTTAATCGCGGAAATTATTAATTTATTGCTATTCTCAATAAAAGAAACAACGCGCGCTGCAATGTCAACTTATGTCACTAATTTCGTTCAACTATATATGATAATTATGTTTGAGATTAAAATCTATTGATACCCGATTGATAATCTTGATGTTGATAATCTTAAACTCGATAAAACGATAAAAAAATAAATTTTAGAAACTCGAAATTTTCTTTGTTAGATTACTTTACGTGATTTTTCTAGATACACGATTTGTTATGAAATAAAAAATAATTGTAAAAATGATTACAATAATAAATCAGAAGAATAAATATATTAGTTATATAAATCGCGTCAAAATTCTATAAACTCACTTTCATTCTAAACGAGAAATTGAAGATTTATAGAATGTGACATATAAAATAGAGAAAGATATATTGATTTTTCATTGTATGTTGAAGCTGCGCGTTTGTTCGAAAATATAATCGTCGATCACCTATGCGAAATAGATCAAGGAATCGATAGAATTCATAGATAGCACTTTGGAGGAGATTTTCTCCGTATCTCGGAAACGAGCGATCGATCTAGACCATGAGATTTCGATCGGCTGATTTAGTCAATTAGATAATCCTTCCGAATATTTCTCATAGGTGGATCTGGACGGACCGCGAATAAGCCCCGGATTAGAGAAAGATAAAAAAAAAATATATATATATATAGATAAATATACATATATATGTAGAGTATATGTCAAATGTACACAAGCACGCACGTAGTAATATCGATCGCTTTTGAAGGATCGATCGCGCGAGAGAGCGCACGCGACGCGGCCGCGGCTACTCTAGCCAGGACTATTTTTCTAAGTTGCAAAGTATAATAAATTAACGACGTTGCATTATCGTTACTAGAGTATATTATAATGTATATTGATATTTTAACTAGGCGAGATAAGTATGAGATAATGTTACGAGCGCGAGAGTAATATAACGAGACTATATATCATAATTATTATCATAATGATTATCGCGCAGCCGATAATCGATAATTAACGGCGGTTCGCACGTGTGGTCGGTGCGCGTGTGACGCGCGCGACGCATTTAATTAGTCGAATGCGTTAATCGCGAGATGAATCGACGAAGCGCGGAACGGAACGGAATCGAAGAATCGCAATGGGAATAAAATGACGGGAGGAGAATGCTATTAATTTCGAGTGATTTCGTCGATTCGCGAGAGATAAGCGAAAAGAAGGAACGAGAGAGAGAGAGAGACCGATAGTAGCAGAATGAATGGATAACTATAAGAGTGAGTGTATGAATATACGAGTGTGAATGAGCGAGGTAGGGAGCAATGAATAAGCATGTATCGTTCTTCGGCCGCGGAGAGTAATAAGAGAAATAATGAATCGTTCTGTCAGTCACCTCACACCTATATTATACAATATCATAATAATATGCTGCCATACGATATAAATATATGTCTACGGTAAGGAGTATATTAATAAAACATTACAAATAAATATGTTATAAGTAATCATCTGGAATGCGTGCCTGTGTTTCCTTCATAATCGATTCTCAGTACAAAATACAAAATACAAAATCTAATGGAAAACGTAAGTTATAATTGCACAATTAATTTATGTATACTATGTGTTTATAGTTTACATGTACAATTATGACGAAAAAATTATTGATCTTAATATATTACGGTAAAAGAGAGAGGTAAAATTAATATAGAGTACAACTAATCAGTGTTTATAAATTAATAGTTTCTCTTAATATTACAAAAAATAAAGAAAACTGAACAAACAATATTAAAAAATCTCTAGTTTACGTATTTATTAATAACTTATATACGTGTATGTACACGGTGCATTATTTAAAGAATTGAAGTATTTGATGGTCGATTCTGTTAAATAGCTGTTTTATATCTATCGTACAAACAATTGTTTTTGGAAAAAATAAGAATTATTTTATAACATTATTTTAGATTGATGCAAAAACGAGAAACAGAAATGAAAAAAAACGCGCGCGCGCGCGTTTGGGGGAAAGATATTCATCATTTACTACTAATTCAACTTACATAATTTAATTGAATACGATTGCATGATTGCAAAACTCATTCGACCAGTTTACACAAAAATTAAATGAAAGAAATGGCCTTTACGTTGTAGAAATTAAATTAGTTTCCGCGTCGTACCAAGTATGCATACGTTTTCTAAAATTATTTAAAAGATCATGTGTTTTCATAATTCATACAGATTACATGTTAATTACATGAGTTTATACACGTGTGACAAAATATTCACGTAAAACAGATGCATATATTCTCAATATATTTACACCAACTTCTTTTATGTAAATGGACAATGTTTTCTATATGTCTGATGTAGGATATTTTGCGAGAAAACACGTAGCATAATTCACTTTGTGAAAGCGATGCATTGACACGTGCTCAACTCTGCGTACGCAATTTCTGCTGTTTGCACTGGAGGACGGTATGACACAGTTACATCATGTTAAGGTGAACGTCGTAGTTATTCGCAACGAAAGCGTACCGACGTACTAACATCGTTGACAAATATTAATGAAAAGAGCCGATTATCAATCAAGCATTATCGATCGATAGAGATATACGTTTAGATTCATTTTGGACTCGGCACGTTCATAAAAAAAAAAAATAATTATAAAGTAAATAAAAAGATATTCTACTTTTTGTCATTGTATTATGAAACTCTTTCTCAATCTCTCTCTTCTAATAGTTTTTATATGATATTTCTACATTAGCAAAAAAAAAAAGAGAACGCTAAACAAAGTTCGATGTAAAAGAGTATGAAAATGAGAAGAAATAAAAAGATGAACAATTCGGAAGGATTTTCGTTGTCGGTGTGAGAGCGAAACTTAGGCAAATGTTGGAGCAGTTAGGCTCTGGCAAGCGGAAAAGCGGTTGCGCAAAAAGAAGGCCGCTAATAGAAGGTACGCTTTCTATAACTGGATAAAGCCCGCCTCTGGGTGAGTCTGACGGCAAAGAAAAACAAAAAGCGCGTCTCGTCGATCGCAACATAAACGCGAAGCATTTCGACGAGGGAAGAAGAGAAACAATAAGAAGAATAAAAAATAAAAAGTTTGGGAGAAAGTGGGGAGGCGGGAGGAGAAGAATGCAACGACCTGTACGAAGGACACAAGGCTTCGACGATCCAGTGACAAGATGCAGTCAGTCAACATTCATCACGTTCTTTTTGCCTTACTGATAATCGCTGTTACTACATCAATTGCTGGAAAATTGCAATCTGGTGAGTGCAAATGTACTACTATATTGACATAATAAATAGATGATCAAATTTGCAGCGTGAAAATCATATTATTTTCGTTGCGTTATTTTATATATATATATTCGTCATTTATCAATTATTATTTCGATATTTCTATATATATATTTTTGAAATAAAATATATATCTATAGGACGCTGTATGTGTGTGGTGTGTATATGTGTGTCTGTGTGAGATATAAATATAAGACTTACTTATGAACTTTCACATTAAATAACTGTTAAAAATAATGTTAATTAAATAACGGTATTTATGGTTTAAAATATAGTTGATTCATGACATAATCAATAATTTGTGATGCAATTGCTGTAAGCAATTGTTGTATACAGGATTAATCAAAATAGAATCAAAATACTCAGATATCTCTATATTACAAAAATATTTAAAGATATATGTGAAAAGATAACATATATATATACATAAATATCACAAAATACCACTATATACACATTCACTATATGTACAAAATAAATATTCGCAATATTTTGCAGATATGGAGAGGTAATAATCGTTATTTTGCAACTTATAAAATTATATTTGCATACGACACGCTTTCACTGTTATTATCAATTACATGATGCAATATTGCAACAGATAGTACTGTGATGGACTGAACTGACATCGTAATTATGCGAATGCAAGATATTGCGTCTACCGACGCGCACATCGTACTGAAGTGCATAATATTGTACGAATAATAATTTACTGTGCTCTGAGTGAAAGGAAAATGCAAGTGGGGCTGCGATGAGGCAAATAAAATGTTGGTCAATAACGTGCGGCTGCATTAAATTTCGTAATTAAAGTTTTTTGTTATTGAATTTTTCGTAGGTAAAACGTGTTTTTATCTTTACAGTAAAACTTCGCGCGGCACGAAATCGCTCAATGCTGAGACGGATTGCCATCTTTCGCGAGGAAAAATCTAAAGTTTGCTACGGTAAAAAGACATAAATTTTACTTTTGTAATTTTAAATAATGATTAATAAAATATACGAATGCATTAATATGAACAAATTGAATATAAATTTGATATAATTATGTTAAGCACAGCTTTCTCTTTCTCTTTTCAAAAAAATATGTATATATCTTTAAACATATTTTTTAATCATTTTTTCCTAATATGCAAATATTATAAAATAGAATAAAAAAAAAGCTTCAAAAAAAAGAAAGAAGAAACGTAAAACCATGGTTAATTCCTCTAAACTTAAATATGTTTGTATTTTAGGGAACATATAAATATAATCTCGATAAGATATATATATATATATATAATATTTATCTTAATATTAAAATAGGTAAAACATTTCAGATTTAGTTGGTTGCTTCACGGATCCGCCGCAACATTTATCGATAAAACGACCGCCTGAACATCCTAGTGTGATTCAAACTAGATTCTTTCTCTATACACGTGTAGATCGACAAAATCCAGAACCCTTACAGTACGGTGACGACTTGAGATCCATTGTACATTCCCGTTTCAATGTCACTAAGCATCTCAAAGTGTTGATACATGGTTACAAGGGCAGTGGGAGTGATATCGGCGCCATACGTGGCGTTAATCTGCTTCTCGATACAGTAATGCTTAACAATTTATAAAATTTTTAAGCCATTATCACACCGAATGTTAACATTTCAAAATTTCGTTTAACTCCTCTCATACAGGAGGACGCAAATGTCGTCATCTTGGATTGGACGAGGGGAGCAGGCACTACTTACGCAGCTGCAGTGGCAAATAGCGAACTGGTTGGCCGACAATTAGCTTTGATTCTTTTGGATACTATTAATTTGGGAATCAATCCTATCGACATCCATATGATCGGTTTCAGTCTTGGCGCGCATGTGGCCGGCTGCGCCTCGGAAGTATTAAAGAGAAAGAACCTGCTTTTAGGTCGCATAACAGGTCTCGATCCAGCGTCACCATTCTTCAGGCATCATCTGTTCCGAGAGAAGTCGAGAAAATTGGATGCCACTGACGCTCATCTCGTTGATGTCATTCACACCGACGGTTCCCAAGATTTCGCAGATGGCTTTGGTCTACTTAAGCCGATCGGACATATCGATTTCTTTCCCAATGGCGGCAAAGAGCAACCCGGTTGTACAGATGTTAAGAATTCGGTGGTTGTCAGCCATTTAAAAGGTGCAACTAAAAGTAATCTAAGCGCGGATAAATATTAACTTATTTAATTTAATTACTTGTCTGTTTGATCGTTTAAAATTTTTTTTTAAATTGTTATATTATTATAATTAACAATATTGGTTTGATAAGATAAAAATTTGTCGCGTCCAAATCAAAACAGTTTTAAATAATTTTAATTTTCATAAATTATATATATCTACGTTGGTTTTATTAAGGCATTCAAATATTTTTAATTTTATTAATATATGTTGGAAATATATATTATTATATATAAATCAGGAATTATATTAATTAATGACTCTCCGAAATGAATAAAAATTTTAGATTTACATTGCACACATTATGTCAAATTTAATCCGTTTCTCATTAAAACATATATATCTTTATAAAGTTATAAATTATTTATTTCTCTTAATTATTAATTTTAGAGGAGCTATTGGATCGCGACATAGCATGTAGTCATTTAAGAGCTTGGCAGCTCTTTATAGAGAGCATCCATTCGCAGAATAAAAAGTGTAAATTCATGGCGTGGCCCTGTCCACAAGGAGGTATATCTTATGCAAAGGGAATATGTTTCCCTATGGAATCGACCGATTGGAACCAAGAAATGGGTTACGCGGCTAATCGTGGACCCTTGGGAATCTATTATCTATCAACCAGAGCCGAAACACCATTTTGCGGTAATAAAATATATAGATGATTAAATTTCTTTATTGAAAACAATAATTTGGCAGGAATAATATTTTATAATTGCCCAAATTTTTTTCTATAAAAATTAATAAATTGCCTTCTTGAGAAATTTTTGAATAATTCATTTAGAAAAAAATTGAAAAAGTAAGCTTAGATAATTGATTACACCAAATTAGTATTATAATTGCGACATAGTTATATTATCTCGCATTATATTTTGCAAGTCATAATTTAAGAAATCTCATAAATTCTAGGCCAGCCACTCAGAGCATCAGTGATGATGTCCGAAGATATGCCGAAAACATCTGGCATATTGTTTTTCAAAATTTTCCTCGGTAATTCTACCACAATCTTTAAGATACACTGCACGTAAGTAAAAAATATTCTATATATACATATAACATTTATTTACTGATTTAATTGACAGTCTAATGATCTAATTGCACCAATGCTATAAATATGATAAATTTCATAAATTTCAATGAGCGTCAATTGCAATAACATCAATTCTAATATTAATGTGAAAATATTAATATGAATTTACTAAATATTAATTTTATTATATTTTTATAACACGATTCATTGTACAATGATCCATTGTACATAACACACACATTGTACAATGTACGCGACATAAATATAATATTGCTTAATTTGGAAGAGAGATAAATCCTCGAGTACCATGTGCCGCTAATTTATTCGTAATAAAATTAATTAATTGCTTTAAATATTATTCTAGCTTGTCGAAACAAAGAAACGAACGAATAATGTTTTATAATATTGCGGCGGCGGAAATCGATACTTTATTTGAAGATACTCCAACAATCACCGGCATCGTCTCATATCAACGGAACAATAATAAAACAGAGGGAGATAGTACATCAAATCCAGAGACGGACGTAATACTTTTTAATAAACTTACCATCGAAGATCGTAAAGGCCATAGGTAAAAATATATGAGGCATAATAATTTTACTAGAAATTCGCTATGAAAATTGTTTGAAAACCGAAGGAAAAAAATATCACAAATTATATATATATTAATTATATGTACAATTGTATATTGTACAGTACATCATTATTTTCTTATATTTCAATCAGGTGGGAATATTGCAGAACGAATACCGCAATCAATTCGCACGAGATGAATGAAATATTGTACGTAGAATTGAAAAATGGACATTGTACACCGTTGTAATGCAATTTTAATGTGACAATTTTTTATTTGAATAAACGAGGTATTCGCAAACATGCGTACACTTATTCTCTCAGAGATCCTAAATTTCTATTAATTATTTTAAAATTGTTTAAATTAATTCTAAGATTTGTAAAGTTATTTTTGTCAAACTTTGACTTGATTTAAATAATATAATTTTATAAATAATATAATATTTCTAAATTTGATTCTAATAAATTTCTATCCCGAAACATCTCTCTAGCATACATATATATGGCGTACGCAATATTAATTTATGTGATTTATTTTTCGTTACATTATTTGCCGCAAATACGTGAAGAGCCAAATCTCGATAAGTAGATAATAAAGCGGCAGCAAATCATTGCGAAGAAAATATATGAATAATTATGTAAGCGCATTAATTAAACTTACTCACCGAGAATACCACTCTTGCCGAATTCGCCGTCTGTGCCATGTTGTCCGTTGTTTTGAACAGTCATTCGCAAATACCTGTCGAATCAGATAATTTAGATAATAAAGCTGCAATAAATCATTACGAATAAATGAATAATCATGAATGCATATGCATTATTTAACCGACTTACCAAGACCGCTCCTGCCGAATTCGCCGTCTCTGCATCTCTCTATATCGTTCGTTATTTTGAACAGTCACTCGCACAAATACCTGCCGAACGAAAAACACGGCTAATTAATATCATCCGCGCGTACAATGATCACTCGCCACTTTGGTACAGCACTCTCATCGCTTATAACGCGTGTTAAACACGAATAAATATCACGAAATATGCTGGTCGCACTCTTGTTAAATAAACTCGTTGAATAAACGACGTGCAATGAAAAAGACGCGCGGACAATTTCGTGTCGAACGCGCAAAATTTGGCGCGAAAATGGCGACGCGAGTAATATATGCGAAAAGCGCCATCAATGTGCGAAATGTACTAAAATCATGCTGTCGATAAAATTGTGTAACTAGATAATTAACCGGAGGATAATTATGTTTGAACTATATATAGTCGGTAACATGACAAATACGACTTATCGATTCAGAAGAAATAATCTTATTATTGCAATATAGCTTGAATGTGTAAATGTAACGCAATGAATACTCGGAACTCGGAATACTCATCCCTCACCCTCTCTCTCTCCCCATGCATGGAGCTATTTGACGATGTCACACATTTGCATTACCGATGCGATATACCGTATTCTGATATTACATACTTGTTTGCACAGGCGATATTCATTTTCTCGAAAACGAAATTTCTCGATAATTTTATTATTACTATATACACTTAACATTTGAACTATGATCGCGGTATCTGCATATCAGAGAGAAGCCTGAGAGGGGTCACGCCGCCGTTTTTCATAAGACACTTTTTCTAGCTGAAGATTATTCGCCTTCATTTATATCCACCAAACGCTTCGAAGCAAAAATAGTGTCTAACGGAGTGCATTTATTGAATATATAAAAACATTTATAAAATTTTTATATTTCTTATATTTTGTATGTTTGTATATTTTGTAATGTAATTTTATTTAATTAATAAGAAATTTGCAAATAAAATGACATAAAAAAAAACGCGACGATAGATCTGGCCATGTAGTTGCACCGGCTTTAAAATGGATCCAGTTAGCGCCACTGTACCAGCTAGGAAAACAGTCTCACGAAAAACGGCGGCGTGGCCCCTCTCAGGCTTCTCTTTGCTCAGTATGTTCATACAAATACTGTAGATAATAATACGTCCAACTCTTGAAAAATCCTTTGTCTTGCAAGGCAACCACTGAAACAGCGCCATCTATTAATCTGAGGTGATAAACTCTTGCTTCATAGAGTGCTACTGGCTGGGTAACAATGTAAATGATAAATAAAAATACGTATACAATTGTGAGATATTTTCTTTAATTTAACATTTTTTTGTAATAATAAATTTTTTCTTCTTGCTATCATTAATTTTATTAACATAGGCTCTTAATAAAACGTTAAAATATTTGTCTAAAAATATTTTATAACAATCGTTACATATACACATCCTCTACTAAAAAAAATACTAACAACTCAGGCCGCGTGGTAGCGCTAGTGCGCTGTATTGCCTGTTTTTAATCGAAGTTTTGGACGTATTATTATCTACAGTATTTGGTTCATATGTGCAACGGCTTGTCTGAAGACAACTATGTATATTATTGATAGTATGTCTTAATGTTTAAAGTAATAGACAACAAAAGCATTATTTAAAATGGATAAAATGGCAAGCATATCTGGATATATTTAAAAATAGGCGTATATATAGTGGTATATTTTCGTAACATCGTTTAAGTCTTCGTAAAAAGTGCCTCTTGATAATGAGTTACATCGTAATTGTGCGCGCCTTCAAGCCGGGCGATGAGATAAGTTGCAAGGAATTAATTAGAAATAGCGTGATGTCTTCCCTGGGTGCCACGTTTCGCGGAATGTTGTTTAAGGAAATAACCTTTCAACTGATAATCTTACTTTCTGCAATAATGTTTATTTTCTTTGGAATGCCACTGACCATTTGTCTTGTGGTTATACCTTTAGTTGCAATATTGATATATGCTGGCACATACATAAGCTTTGCTGCAAAGCTAACAGAGATTAATGAAGAAGTGACTAACATTTCAAGGTAGTATATCATATGTAGATCTTATAACAGCTTAATAAGTTATCACATGATAGATGATCCAAAATATTTTAATTTTCTTTTTTTTATATAGGCTTTATATGTCTAACGGTTTTTCATGCTTCTGGGTCGCCGAAGCATTTCAGCCTTACTTAATGACACGACATCCTAAAGAAGTTCATTATACTGTAATCACAGAACAACAGTATTGCCAAGCCAACATGGGAGTTTCTTTGCTGGCCAAAAAGATTGTGGGAACTATTGGCTTGTCCAAGAGTCATAGATTAGATAAATGTGCATGGATAAAGAGACTATGTGTGCACAAGGAATATCAGAATAAAGGTATAGCAACGTGTTTGCTCAATACTGCTGTACAATTTGCGATTGAAGCAGGTTATAGTTGTGCTAATATAGTGGCTTCCGAATATACAGAAGGTGGTAGAGAACTGTGTCTTAAAAAGGGATTTGAATTGAAACAAATGTATCACAAGTCTATCTTAGGATCATACATAATGATATTAATGTATGAATTATCTTATCAAATCAAATCTAGTGAGGATGATTACTTACCTCAGATTGAAAAAAAATTTTTAAGTCTTTACTAATTATAAATATTAACGGTATATATATATATATTGATTAGGATAACAAATCTCTTAAAAAAGGGATGAGACTGATTGGACGAGTCTGTGTTCTCTATTAAGCGAAATGCTTCAACCAAATAGTGATCTTTACCTCAGAGTGATATATATTAGTATTATTCAGTTTTATAATTAAACCAAAAAAATAATAAGTTTATTATTTTTTTATGAAATGTTTACTAGATATTTCAAATGATGTTTTACATACTTTTTCATAGAACTCAAATTCCATGAGTGATATATAGAAAATGGAAATAAAGGTATATTTTTATCACATTTTATTCTTCATAGCTTTTCGGTACATTTGGATCTCTTTACCTTCCCAATGTTGATTCTTTATTGTTGATAGGAATCTAGAATAAATAATTTTATTTTAGTTTAAAATGATAGGCTGAAAACAATTAAAATACAGAATACTTTGTAATAAAAAAGAAAGTTTAACGAGGATTACTTTTCTTGAATTTCTTGCAAAATTGTTTTTTCTTTTTCCGTAATGCCGTTTTGCAAAACATCCAGATTCATTTGTAATTGCTTTGTGCTTTGTATTCCGATCAAATTAGTGTCCACATTCGTATATTGGATGGAATGCCATATTGCCAGTTTGGAAAGCTCCACATTTTGATCCTGCATATTGTTTATATTATTAATTTTTTAACGGCATTATATATTATATATTGATCACACATTAAACAAATGGACAATACTTTAATTATCAATGTATAATAATTATATAACAAATTTATTTGACATTCTTATTAATGAACCTTGCAGTAATGTGCAGCATTCATACATTGTTCCTTTGTCTCGTCAGAGGCTGGATGCCAGCTCGGTGGACCGTTATTTGTTAAAAGACCCATAGATAGTGCAGCAGCATTGATTAGACCTATATTATGCTTCTACAAAATACTCGAGAATTAATAAAATTTTGTCATCAAGTATTTGTTTACGATGCGCGAGGTAAATAAAATTACAAACCTTGAAGAATGGTATATAGTCTAACAAAGTGTCGTCGATCAGAGTGAGTCTCGCATAACTCAAGACACAGGCTATATTTATATTACTCTTTTCGATGCATTCTTTCAGTACAGATACTGGATATCCGGTTATACCTATATGTTTAGCTTTTCCCTCGGCTACTTGCTTTGATAGTTCCGGCAGAGTTTGCGTGATGATTATATCTAATGAGGATGCAAATTCGATATCGTGAATCTAAAAAGTTTACATATTTTATTTTTATATTTTATTAATTTACAAGTAGATTTTTTTATAAAACGTTATCAATTTCGATATGAAACAATATTTGTTACTTGAATAACATCGACGTAATCCAATCCCAATAGTTCCAAACTCTTTTTAAAACTCTTTCTAGTTTTCTCGACAGTGAAATCAAACATATTGTCGTAATCCAACTCGTATTTGCCAACTTTCGTCGCTATATAATAAGCTTTTCGCGGAATCCCTTTTAATGCCTATAATACATTTGCAAAGTTACAAAAATGGGCTATGAAAAATATTTGAAATATGTATTATATATATTTCTAGTAAATTTTTGCACCTTGCCGAGTGTTGTCTCGGATCGACCTTGACCATACCATGGTGCTGTATCGATATAATTGACACCTTGTTTTATCGCTTGACGTACCGCTTCGATGGCATTGGCCTCGTCATACGTGCTAGCAATAATATAATTATTTAAAAATCACTATTGTATAATTACATATAAAAAAAAAATATTCATGCAAATAATCAATAATTTACCCGTAATGACAA